GGCGAGGGCGGAAACCCTAGGGCGTCGGGGCGACGGCTTTATCCGGCCGGGGCGGCGGGTACGGCGGCCATCCGGTGGGTGGCCGCGCGCGCGTCCGCGGGATGGGCGCCACGTGCAGGGGCGGGATGGCTCCTGGGTTGGGCCGACTTGCTGCCCACTCGCTACTTCCTTGTCTTAATCGCTCTCGCTCTACTCACTCTACGGCCCATATTCCGCTCGCTATTAAAGTTTTTCTTCATTTTTTAGGCGCTAACGTTTCATTCGACTGTTTTTCTTTTCCTCTTTCGACTGTTTTTTATAACTTTCGATATATTCATAAACTGTCAAGATAGTAGTACAAAGAACACCAGAAGTAAACAGAAGATAAAATACATGTATGTCCATAGACCATCTAGCGACGACTACTAGCACTGGAGTGAGCGAGCCGAAGGCATGCCGCCTTCTTCACCCCTCCCTCATCGGAGCCGGACAAATCTTGTTGTGGTAGACTGTCCGGAAGTCATGTGGTACTAAGACCCCATAGAACCAGCGAACTAGAACAACAAGCATCGACGATGAAGAGAAGCGCAGATCGAAAGGATCCAACCTGTAGACACACGAACGTAGATGAACGAAGACAGCATCCACCGAAGACAAACGCTGACCGAAACCTACGAGATCCGCTGGAGATAAACCTCAACACTCCCTCCGACGATGTTAGAAACACCACAGGGATGGGGACTAGGTAAGCAGAAGTAAAACTACATCTATGTCTATAGACCACACCTAGCGACGACTACTAGCACTAGAGTGAGCCGAAGGCGTGCCGCCTTCTTCACCCCTGCCTCATCGAAGTCGGGCAAACCTTGTTATACTTGACCGTTAGGAAGTCGTGGTGCTAAGACCCGATAGGACCAGCGCGGTAGAACAACAACCGCCGCGCCGATGAAGAGAAGCGTAGATCAGAAGGATCCAACCTGTAGACACGCAAACACAGACGAACGAAGACAGAATCCACGTGGATTCATCGAATACAAACCCCGACCGAATTCCGTGAGATCTGCTAGAGACAAACCTCGCCCTCCGACGATGCTAGAAACACCACACGGACGGGGACAAGGTAAGCAAAAGTAAAACTACATATATGTCTATAGACCACACCTAGCAACGACTACCAGCACTAGAGTGAGCCGAAGGCATGCCGCCTTCTTCACCCCTCCCTCATCGAAGTCGGGCAAACCTTGTTATACTTGACCGTCAGGAAGTCGTGGTGCTAAGACCCGATAGGACCAGCGCGGTAGAACAACAACCACCGCGCCGATGAAGAGAAGCGTAGATCAGAAGGATCCAACCTGTAGACACACAAACACAGACGAACGAAGACAGGATCCACGTGGATTCATCGAATACAAACCCCGACCAAATCCCGTGAGATCTGCTAGAGACAAACCTCGCCCTCCGACGATGCTAGAAACACCACACGGACGGGGACAAGGTAAGCAAAAGTAAAACTACATATATGTCTATAGACCGCCTAGCGATGACTACTAGCACTGGAGTGAGCCGAAGGCGCGCCGCCTACTTCACCCCTCTGTCATCGGAGCCGGACAAACCTTGTTGTACTTGACCGTCAGGAAGTCGTGGTGCTAAGACCCCATAGGACCAACGGGGTAGAACAACAACCGCCGCCGATGAAGAGAAGCGTAGATCGGAAGGATCCAACCTGTAGACACACAAACACACACTGGTAGAAAAAGGCCCATCTGTCCCGGTTCCAGATGCCCATTTGTCCCGGTTCTGGAACCGAGACTAAAGGATCGGTACTAAAGTCCATGACCTTTAGTCCCGGTTCGCTCGCGAACCGGGACAGACGGGGCTCCACGAGGCCGCTGCGGCTTGCCCAGGCAAGAGGGCCTTTAGTCCCGGTTGGTAACACCAACTGGCACCAAAAAGCATCCACTTGTCAGCAGTTCAGGGGCTGGGGTTATTGTTATTTTTAATGGGGGGGGGAGGGTTTGGGGGGTTTGGAGGGTTAATTTAATTAGGGGTTTCATATATTGTGTTAGCTAGCTAATAGAGAGAAGTGACCTCTCTTATCTCTGCGCTTGGTCGACGCTACGTACTATACGTATAGATGACTCGACACGCTAGCTAGTAAGAAAATGAAGGAAACCATTAAGTACAGAAGATTGTCATGAACATATACAAAGAGAAGTGATCGACCTCTCCTTCTCCGAGAGATTGGTCGAACAACAAGTTTTTGTATATCTATCCGATGCTACTAGCTACATATATACAATATAAGATCTATTACAATCCTTAAAGTCTGAAGTCAAGTACCACATGGTATTCTCCGGCTTTCATGATGACGTGGTCAAGAAAGAATCCCGCCAATTCCTCTTGAATAGCTTTCATGCGATCATGTGGTAGGAGCTCATCCCGCAGCTGCCAGATCTAAATCGAAGAAGAGGGTCAATACATGTGTATGAATGAAACTCAACACAAATGATGGTAATAAAATACAATTGTGAATATTTTTTCTTACGCACTTGATATTGTTTTTCAGTGTAGCCCCGCTTATTCTTGGTCGTCTCGTTGTAGATAAACTCGCAAACGTAGTATCCACAGAAATTATTTCCTTGTTCCTGCCACAAGCACTTTATGAGAAATAGAGGTCAATCAAACTGATAAGCAAGCATGCAAAATGGTATTGACAAAACTAGCTACAATCAATGGTAGATGCGCGGAACTAGCTATAGTACTTACTTTCGGTTGTTTAAATGTCAGCTCAGTTGGCAGTCCCAGAGAAATTACGGTGAACTTTTTCTAAACTCTGCCAAACAAGAAAATAATTACTTGATATCAAGAAATGAACAAAGTTGCCGATACGGTGCGATAATGATCGATTGAACTTACTTCTAGAGCATTCTAGTCATGTCCGCATAGTCCTCGGTATCTTTTCGTCTGCAGTCTAAGAAGGTTACTTCTCCTTTCTCAAGCTTAATCACTAGGAGAATAAAGTGGAAGTTGCGCACGCATGCATAACTCATCAGTTACATGACTATAACCTCCAGTGTCGTGGATTTGTCACTTCAGATGTCCTAGTGTGAGGACTTAGTCATGGGGCCAATGCATCCATGTGGTAGCTTGAGAGGGGTTGAGTGCGACGAGAGATGCAAGGTTTTACCCAGGTTCGGCCCCTCACGGTGGAGGTAAATGTTGGAGATATGCCCTAGAGGCAATCATGTATGATGATATTTCCTATGTGTTTATGAATAAAGATAGTCCTTGGACATTATCAATGATGTGTATCAGCAAGTACTTGACTTGTTTGTGGGACTATGCATTGTATGATGAGTGTCCTAAAAGGTCCCTAGTCGAAAGGGTTGTGTGGACGCGCAGCCGACTAGACTAGCATATGACATGGTCGATGGCTCGGTCTCACTAGCCATGGAGCATTGGATGCTAACCGGATAATATGGACTTGGAAAGATCTGGTCGGATTCGACGTAGTCGGATCCGAGTCGAGATAAGGTCTAAGTCGGACAGACCCAACTATGAGACGCATCGATATGTCATATGTGAGTCTCTAGTACAACATACGTTCTATGTCCTAAGACCTGAGCTGACCCATGTACTTGAGATGGTGACAGACTTGCTTTGGGCCAACCAAATGCTACTCTGTGACTGGGTAGTTACAAAGGTAGGTTTCGGGTATGTCCAGTCCCATGCTGCGAGACATGGTCGAGCAAGATGGGATTTGCCCCTTCGATCAGGAGAGATATACTCTGGTCCCCTCGTGTGATCGGATCAGGATAAGCATGGCCATGCGACAAGGATTATGAGATAATCCGGGTAGTGGTCGGGATCACTGGAACGAGAAAGAGGTCGGGCTAGCACAAGGATGAAAGTCTCGCCTTGAGCCCGACAACATATATCGTGAGGCAAAGGGAACAGAAGTGTGACACGTTGTACATGTTCGCCTAACCAGCTTCATAGTCTGCTTAGTGGTCGGCACGCCTTGCTAGAGGCCGCTACCAACCGTGCAGGTCGGAGGTGATCTGAACTTTGACCAAGCCGACTTGAACCTAAGGGGTCGCGCGCTTAAGGGAAGGAACCTACGAGGTCGGTTCGTAGGACACTGGTCGGATGTGATCCGAACTGGACTAGGAACGTGACCGAGTAGACTTGTGGGCTTTAGGGTCCGTGCGAGGCCCAAGTGTTGAGCCCGCGACGGACGCCTATATAAGGTGGAGGTGCAATGCACTTATTTGGTTGATCGCTTCGGCGCTGCGACTAGGGTTTGCATGTGTTGCGAATAGCCACCTCCACTTGCCGCACGGTGTTCCTCCTGCACGCACGGATACTGTTAGAGGCGGTGCACTTGCCGCGCTCCGGCGAACTTGTACGTGTGATCGGACGACTAGCTGTTCAAGGGAGATCGGACAAGGAGGAGACGATCCACACGGACGCGCTGCCCCAACTCTGCTTCCGCTGCATGGCATTGCG